TCAAAGTTAGAACCGAGCTCGGCTGAAAACAAAATCAAGCTATTTACAATAAACAAGAATGTACCCCAAAAGTGATATTAAGTAAGGTTGCACATTTTTACTTGCACTTGGTCAGCCAAGATCCCCCGAAACTTGTCAGATTATTCGCATTTGACCAGCCGTAACTAGCACCCATTTTTCTTATGTGAGCCTCAAAAGGGGACGGGCCTAGAGTTGTGGCTGGTGGGGAGTTTACAACATCATTGTTGGATGTCGGAGGGATAGAAATAGAGTAATACAGCGATTGCATTATAATAATATGGAGATGACAACGACATCGGCGACGACAACGAGACGACCACGATGATGATGATGATGATGATGATGATGATGATGATGATGATGGTGATGATGATGATATTTTGTGAATGTTCCTGAGGAAGCCCGTTGAGGGCGAAACGTTGAACTTTGGATACAATATTTTTTGGAAACACTACCAGGTCTTAACTGTTTTAATATCTGCTTTATACAATGATGATGAGGATGATGATGATGGTGATGATGATGATAAATTGTGTAAAGTAACAAAATGACTGCTTCAAGAATATAAATAATTGAATTTATTGAATAAGGGCCTTTTATATCTTCGTCTGATTTTTTTGTTTTGTTTTTGTTGTTGTTGTTGTTTTGCGAGCGTGTATAATTTTGCCTAACAGGTTGTCTTTATCGTAGCTAACGTTCTCTCCTACCGACAGGTCTTCCCGGGTAAAGCGAGCAGAAACTCAGAGTAAGTATTTCGTCAAGACCTTTGTTTTGCTTTTTGTGATTAAATAACACAAACTTATTCTTTACTCACAAACCTTATGAAACATCTTAAGTCTAAATCAATCGAGGAAGCACTTTTCGAAGGTGATGCATGATTTTATCATAAGGCCCCAAATATGGTGTACGGAAGAGTGGAAAGACTAAATAGGATACATCTATTCTAAGACACAGTTATGTCTACTAAATGTCAAATGATCTTGGCTTCAACAGGGTTCTGAAGCAATTTCAATGTGCTGTGTTGTTACTTTAAATGAAAGGAAATCCACAGAACATGCAACCTTATTTTCTCAAGAAAACTGAAGCTTTAATATTCCTTTATAACGTACGCATAGTTCTGTATCACGCATGTTACAAAAAGAATCTGAAAAATAATCTGAACTTTGTTCTATTGACACAAAAAAACATCGCTTTGCTCAGGTTAGATTAATTCCTCGATATTGACATAGATCTACGCCGTGGTGCAAATCTTTTATTACATGAAGTTTGAAATCTGAGCTTGGAAACCAGCTGAGATAACATGCCAAAGTAAGCAGTCGGTCGTGATTATCAGGCCACTCGCAAGGGTGCTAAGTGACTTTATGAGATAGCCGCTCTTGTAAGTGCAATATCGTTGGACATGGGAGAATTATGGTTGGGACTGAGTAATAGCGTATTTCTTTCACACGACATAATGTTATAGGGTGTGAAGTCGGGAGATAGGTGTGATACTTCAGGACATACTATTGAGACAACTTGGGTTAACTACAAATGGTTTATTTCTCAGCTAATATTGCTTTTTTTTTTTATAGTTGCTGCTTTTGGTTATTACTTCTTCATAGCGACAAAATATTGATAATTAATTATTCAAGACTATCTTTTAAATGGATACGGTTATATAAAAACAGTATTTGGCATCTCAGTCCTCCGTCCTAGAAAACGACGCCACACTTCTCTCTTGCGAGTTTGGAAAAAATCAGAGACCGTCGTGGTTTCTACAACGAAGTAAAGTAGAATACCAAATTATAGCGACTTTGTTTCCAGGAGTGTGAAGAGACCATAACCAAAATCTAAACCGTCGCTCAGGCCTCTCATAATTGTACAAGCATACCCACACACACACACACGCCTCCTCCACTCCCTAATTTTTCGATGTAAATATATAAGATACAGAATTAGAAAGGAACCATGAGAAATATTATTAAAATTTTGACTTGCTTATAGAACGAGTGATAAATAAACAATCACTAAAGATAGTCTACCGGGGCTTTTTTCTTTTTCCTTAGACTGTCCAACCCCAGCTGCGCCTGGCAACGGGACAGTTGATTGTCAGTTTTTTGACGAGCTTCATCTGGACATGTGAGTATTTTTTGTTTCTTTGAGGATTCATTTCTTACTTTCTTCCAAACTCTCAAGACTTGAAAAATCAACATCGGTCCCTTTACTTGCACGGTGCTCCCCAAGAAGAGGATAGTTAGTAGTGCTAAAACACGACCAGGTGCTCATCATTCCTTGACCTTCTGTCTCTACTACTACTACGGTTGCTGCAGTTATTGCTGCTGTTATTGTTGCTGATATTACTGCTACTGTTGCCTCTGTAGATGATGGAGGCAGTATCTTTTTTTAAATTTGAATATTCTCTATAAAAACCCGAATGGGTGAAACGTTGAACTACTTTTTATTAAGAAAGCTAAAAACTTTATTTTTAAAATCCAAACTAGATTCTACATATCCAAGTATCCACACGTTTTTTTTCTTGTAAGGAACAACAACATTACGTTGAGGGGGGCGGTTCACGGTGATTGTAGTGCTTGTAGGGGAAAAAAGAACGGTAATGATAATAGCAACACTACCTATGTACACATTATTTACCTACAGATTCTGTACGTTCACGTGCAATGGCGGATACAAGTTCAAGGGCGTGACAGACACAGAATTCATGTTTATTTGTGACGTAACGCAGGGATTCTACGACACACCAGCTACTCCACCGTGTGTTCGTAAGTTGTAGCATTTCTGCATTCTTTTGGTCCAGTACCAATTGAGAGAACTAGAGTCTAAGACCATAGTTTCATGCTGCAAATGTTAACGGTGTACCATTTCTCTTTTTAAGGCGAGACAAAAGGATTCATGACGGCTAATTTGTATTTAGCAGATAGATAGATAGATAGATAGATAGATAGATAGATAGATAGATAGATAGATAGA